CCCCAAAACCCCAAAACCCCAAAACCCCAAAACCCCAAATTGAAAATTTTCCAAAATTATTTACTATGCTAAATTCTAAATTAAATTACTCTTTAGTTAACTCAATGAATATTAATTTCCTATCCATAAGTATCAAGTGACTGCTTTTTAGAAGTTATTCTTCTTTCCTGCTACCTTCCTGATAGCAACTGGATCTTTTTATCTACCACAAAAAAGGTTTCATTTTTCTACTGCACTTCATCCTTGAGATCATTCATTTTCTAGTTAGATTTTTCCCTGATACCATCTTACTTCATTGTAAAAATTGACTGTGGCTTTACTTTTTGCCTTATTGTCTCAAACTTTTAGCTAATCTTTGGTATTAATTGATACTTTAAAGGGTTGAAAGTAGATGCATTTGCCATTTATCTCAATGGAGTTGCTTGCTAAGATAGTAGTCTTTGATTGTTAGGTGTAGAGCAAAATAGCAAGAGATGCTTATTATGCTTTATGTTTTATCTAGACAAATTGTTGCCCTGATCAATTAAATTTATACTCTGATTCCCAAATTAATTAGAATTGTTTTAATTGTACAAGTAAGTCTAATTAATGCTTTATTAGGTTGGATTATAGCCAGCGTTTACTGGGGACATAGTGTTCTTAGGAGAAGGAAAAAATATTTAAACATTTTTGCTCCCTCCAGAAGGTGAAACAATCTAAGATTGAGATACACTTAAAGTATCATTCTCTGTCTGTATTGTATGCTGACTTTACAATTTCTACTAAGTTTATTTAGGTAGTAGCAACTAATGAACTAGATGATTTGCTTTTACTACTGATAAATTCTTAGATATTGTCTAAAAATTTCCTTGTGTTTATCTCAGCTGCTATCTTTAGACCTATATTTCTTAGAATAATAAGGAGCCATTATTATTTTACTGATTAAGTCTTTTATTCCTGTTTTCAAAGAAATTTGTCATTGACTGAGCTTGTCTCATTTTCTTAGCATTGGCATCTTATTTATCATCGAGCATTGTGATTGAACTATTATCATCAACTTTTATCTTATCAGCTGGTTATTAAAACTATTTATTTCCCTTTAAAACACTCTCGACTCCTCTATTGTTAAACTCATTCGTTGAATTTTCTGGGTATTGAGGTTGACCATATATCATTGTTGGATCTTTCTTCATATTGAATAATTAATGACCTGCTCTTACGGTACCACCCACAATACTTGATAAGGCAAATAGATCTGTCTGATTAAATTCAATTGTTGGCTAAACTCTGAAAGTCTATTTTGGAGGACTGATATTAGCTAAAGATGCAGAACCACTCAGAGTTTTTTACTTTTCATAATCTAGCCTATTTTAGTCTCCTTAAGAAGCCTATCTATTCCTAATAGTATGTAAGGCATGAGATCTAGCTTGAGGATATTATCTTTAGACCTCATTAGACTACTCATTTAATGTTTCAAAGTAATTATCCTTTAGCTTATTTAGGCTCTTAGCTATTTCATAAAATCTTTTCTCTAGCCATTTAACTTTGTTGTGTGCTTGGTCATCAAAATAAGGCATCAGATCTTTCGGCATCTTTGAATAGAAATCCTCTTTGCTAAGGCAAAAAACTTTAAGAGGCTTAGTAGCAATTACAGAGTAAGGAATAGGTCTATCATTAAAGAACTTTATTTCATCTCCAATCCATTCTTTTTGTGAAATCAGACCAAGTTAGAAGGTGCTTGTTGTCTTTGAAAAGTAGGATTTATTTTACAACAAATCCTTTTGGAAAAGCTAGTTTTAAGATCCTCGATTAAATTTCTAGATAATTGGCACCTTACTTGAAAGTATTTTGCATTCTCCTTCTTTTACTAAGTACAAATGGGTTATTTTCTATCCCTCATTCAATACAAATGATCCTTTTGAAAAAATCTACATTAGATATTAGATCATTTATAAAATATTTTTAAATGGAGGAATAATGTACCTACCTTTTCAGTAAATACTTCAGCAAAAGCCTTTTACTTGTTGGTTGATATCTTGCTCATTATCTTTTGATCAATGCATAGCATCACATCTGTCTGCAGTTATTAATTGTCTTATCTCTATAATACTAAGATTTAAAAAGGCAGTTTCATTGTAAGGTGGATATACTAAATTACTTCTTATATTTTTTTTATTTCATCATACTTAATTGACATTAAATATGAATCCTATAAGCCATAGACATAGCAGGCCTCCCATTCTTTGTACTAGTATTTGACATTCACATTTTGAGAGAGAGTCTAAAGCGTTTTTATAGACCCAAAGATGCTAAATGCCTTGTAAACTTTAAATTGTTCTGAATAGGAAATTAGATCCAGATTTTCACGATCTAAATCCTCCTTTAAAATAATATTAAAGCATGAAAATTTTTATATTATTCAATGGCAGTAATAGTAAGTTTATAACTCAGTTTTGAAGATGTCTATATCTAATACTTACCTAATCATATTCCTTGGGGCCATACCTTGACCTCTTAGCTGCTCCCTTGAATATAAAGTAGACTCTGGGTGTATGGTCATCAGGCCAAATGAGCACTTGATTTTCTCTGAGATCTACAAATTCTACATGTTGTGAAAGCTAAACTCTTATTAAAGCTTGTCTCAGTATATCTTACTTCATTTCTTAATGCTGTTGGAATAGATCTCAATTCTGGTTTGAACTCAAAAATATCCTTCAATGCAATCTTAATTTACTAAATTTTATTAGTAAGCTTGAATGATACATGTAGATCGTCATCTGAGAATTTAATTTTAAGTTTAAGTTGGTCTCTAATGTCTACGAGTCTCTTGCAAAGAGTTTCTTCCATATTTTAAAAATACACTCTAATTCAAGATTAAATTTATTTTTACATTTTCCAGCCTTATCAATATATTCTTAGATTTATGGGGTTTTGGGGTTTTGGGGTTTTGGGGTTTTGGGG